TTATTTTTATGGTTAAAGAGAGGAGCGGTTAGATTTTTATCAAAAATTTGATGTTACTGAGAGTGACAAAGAAGTTGATGGTCTTCCGGATGAAAGTGATAAATATAATATAACAGTCCAGGACAATTCACAAAACAATCTAGTCTCAACCTAAATAGAGCTTGTGCTATGAGTACAAACAATCATACTCATAAATACATTTTTTTTTACCGTACAAAGAATAGAACTCACGACCATTGGAAATTAAGTGCTGTGATGTAACCTCTAGATCACCAAGGCCGTCATAGATGTTAACGTAAAATCATTGATATTACAGAAGAAATTTTGGGCAATATATAAAAATTATAACATAATCTTAGTTACGATACAACTGGTTTAGGAAATAACTTTTAGTAGTAAGAAAAAAGAGCTGATTTCATTACTATCATGTTAGGAACGTTGTCTGTAGAAAAACGAGTTAAAATATTCTAAATTATTATTAAAAAACTTAAAAGTAGTAAAGATTTGAACGCTTTGAAAATACATAAAAGGTAAAATCGCTCGAGTGAGTTCAAATTCCAATTCAACAGTGTAGTATCCTTTGTGTTAGGAAACGGAACTTGGGAAAGTAAACATAAAGCTTTTTAAAAGAATTGCTTTTATGTTCGTAAGCGATTCGATTAGAAACATCGCCATTACCTCTTTTGATAAATATGAATCAAGAATTTTAAGAACTGTTTATTATTATTATTACTAAATGCTTTATACTTTCACATAATTCAAGGGAATAAAATATGTCTTCAGAATGCACTTGGGAAATAATGTTACAAATTTATAGAATAGTAGATCTCTGAATATTTCATTGAAAATTGCGCCACTTATAAACAAGTTGATTGACTTGGTATGAGCACGGAGCTAAGCAAAAGAAAATATAAAACCCATGTATATATGGATGGAAAAAAGATGGATGGATTGTATAAAATATCATATGTATATAAAAGGAGAGTATGCTCAGATTTGACGGCCGATCAGTGGAAGAGAATGACTTACTGCGCCGACCACAAATAATGGGACAAAGGCAAGGCAATGATGATGACGATGAGTAGGTTTTTTAATCGGTAGGTGTATTATTAACTAAGTATTTCAAGTAGACGAAATAAAACTTTTCAATTAATTCAGATAAAGCAATGGTAATTAATGAACTCGACGTTTTAATAACTATTCATTAGACTAAAGTAAACAGTAAAAGTTGCGGCAAAGATCTCGAATATATTTCGATTAATTCAATTAAAATACTGTCGAAAGGATTCCATTAATATTTACTTATACATCCTTAGTTGAAGTATATGCCTATTGTTAACTTGTTAAACTGTCATTGAAGTCATAAATTAAATTACCAAATTGCTTCAATGTTACGACACTGCAACCCAACGGAAGCACGGCGGCATATTTCATGGTTTACGGCGGAACTTGGACAGTGGGGCCGGAGGCCTCGGACCTCAACTAAATGGGTTATTCAAAGCCAATCCAGTCCGCATATTAGTTTATCGCGTCCCTTCGAAAGGGCTAATCCCATTCAACCCTCGGTAAAGCAATTCCGTCGCCACGGCCTCAAAATGCTCATTGAATGGTGCGGAGCCGACCTGCAATAAGGTTATACTATTTCTTGGACTCACTCTTGAGCCATTAAAACCGTCTAGTCCATTCGCTCACTGTCGGATTAAAAAGGGACCGCTTTTGTACTGTCTCAAGCGAGTGACGCTGCCATTTAGGTTTTATTTTGCCTCGCTTCTAGCACTAGCGTAAATTCCCGTAGTATTGGATTTGCGTTCACTTCCAACAAGAACTTAATAAATTGAATTTTCTCGCTGACTTTCTGTTCAAACTTTAATTTATTAGGGCTTTGTTCTGTCGCGAATCAGAACTGTAATATCAGATGCTTAATTGATATGGAGTAGATAAATAATATGACAATTATTATTATTGATTTAGTTATGCTGTTCTCAGCCTATGAAGCTAATCGAGTAATTACGATGTTAATCAAACAGAGTGGTTTCTCTCCAAGATTGAATGTTTTATTCAGAGGCAACGTTATCTGAGCGAGAGCTCGTCAGCTAATGCTGGCTTTAAAGCGGTCATAAAGTTTTACGCGGACGATCCGCTGGCGGTGGTTTGTCCTGGTCGCTCGTTCTTTCAACACATTGTGATATTTGCGTTACAGAGTTGTCTCTCTTCTAACTTAATGACATTATACGGTGAGACAAATTCTTAGTGTAAGTATTTATATATAAAATTAAATACATTTTATATTCACATGATACTGTATCGTTAATAGTTAAAAGAACTACAAGCATGGAATCCTGTTGATTGGAATAGGTGAGTCCTCTAATTTTAACTAATTTAGAGCAATCAGATTTGAATAATGTATATTGATATGATATATATATATGTAATAGAAGAAACATTAAAAGAAATACAAAGATTACTATTCCACGATACGGTTACGTTAAAGTAATAATAGTTTCTAATAGTCTACACTTGCAGTTAACTTTACTATAAACGTTTTATAGTTCACAAATTTGAATGGAATTTCATTTCCATTGTGTTGCGACAATTCTACTTTGGAATTGCTTCTTTTTACGAAGCAAATGTATTTTTTTGAATAATCTTAAAGGTTAATCAATTATTCGGCAGTCCAAATATTACTGGTTGCCAAAAAAGTAAGACATGGAGGAAGTTATTAGAGAAAGTTTATGTCGGATAATAGATTGACTGGCTAGTACTGAACGGTCTACGTGTAATAACATGTAATAACAGAAATGTATTAGGCACATTGATTTTAGAAGAAAAAGACTAATCCATCACATTTAAAATAAGTAATCATGTTGCTGAGTAACAGTTGATACTATATGTAACGTACAACTGAATCAGATCGAGAATAAATTATATTTGCTACTGCATATAATCTATTGAATATCTCCATAAAAATAAACCTTAATAGGTAGTATTCTTTATGTAATTTGAATGGTAAATAAGATAACAGCTTACCTAATGGTAAGTGGTAATCGTTGCCTATATACTAGGACAGTAGAAATAGAAATAGAAATAGATATAATCTTTATTCAAATAAACTCATTACAAGCACTTTTGAATAGTCATATATTGATTCTACCACTCATTCGGAACGCAGATTCATCACAAGAATGATGTGTGTTGCTCTTTTGAATAGATATTTTTTTATATAAATAATTACACAATAACAAGTAAGAGGCAAGCGATAATCAACATAGAAACCTTTACGCACTCATTTTTAGTGCAATCAGATAATATTGTCAGCGCTATGGATTTTAAGTTTTAGTATTACGGATATCACATTATCATGAGATACGCGTGGTATCACTTGAGCGTTACCACTTCAGAGTCAATTTATCCTGTAATTTTATTGCCTAATCTACTTTTGGAGAGAATGGAGCGCCAAAGGCCTTTATGCCCACGTCTCCTAATTCATAACTCGATCTTCTTAATTCATCTTATACATGTATGTATGTTAATATTATGAGCCGGCACCAGAACTTGACTTCTCTTTTAGATGCAGTTATATGTCTATCTAATTGTGATATATTAGACTGAGTACTTGCAGTGATTGCATCTTTTCGTTCTGCGAGTGATAATATCTATAAGTACTTTCTTAGATTTATTTACAAAATACAAAAGAAAATTAAGAATAGAATAGAAAATCATTTATTCAAATAAACTCAATTTAAGCACTTTTGAATAGTCATAACAATTGTTTTTAATCTACCGCTCATTCGGAAAGCTGTCTCATCACAAGAAGAACGAGCAAGAAATTTGTGTGTTGCTCTTTTAAATAATCCTTGTAAGTTCACATTTACACATCGAAACGTGTGAATACAAACTACTAACTAATTTATTAGGATCAAATATAAATACACAATAAGATTAAATCAGTCGTAGTGATAAGAGAAGACCAGTGCCTACAAGCAGCACTCGTTCACGAGTATGACGAATGAGCCAGTCATCACTGAAGTATTAGGTGTTTAAATTAAATTATTTATTATTTGATTTGTTTTCTTAATTAATAATATAATTTAAATCAGTAATTCACTGTCAAGTCCTCTATGCTTATTACACTTTTTTCATGGAGTATCACAAGGTATTAACCTTAGCCACAAGTGTTCTTACGTCAATGCTCGGATGTTTAAATTAATATAATATACTGGCTACTCGCCCCGGTTTCGCTCGGGTGTACATGTATTATACATATAAACCTTCCTCTAGAATCACTCTATCTACTAAAAAAAACCGTTTCAAAATCCGTTGCGTAGTTTTAAAGATTTAAGCATACATAGGGACGGACAGAGAGCAACAGCGACTTTGTTTTATACTATAACTAGCTACTCGCCCCGGTTTCGCCCGGGTATACATGTTTTATATATATAAACCTTCCTTTAGAATTACTCATCTATTAAAAAATCCGTTGCGTAGTTTTAAAGATTTAAGCATACATAGGGACGGACAGAGAGCAACAGCGACTTTGTTTTATACTATAACTAACTACTCGCCCCGGCTTCGCTCGGGTGTACATGTATTATATATATAAACCTTCCTCTAGAATCACTCTATCTATTAAAAAAACCGTTTCAAAATCCGTTGTGTAGTTTCAAAGATTTAAGCATACATAGGGACGGATAGACATCGATCGCGACTTTGTTTTATACTATGTAATGATTGATTAATTATTAATCATTGTCTATATAATTGTACGTAAAAAGAACAAGATAAATCAAGTATGAACGTAAGTTAATATGAACAAGATGTAAGTACAAGCAAATACAATGCTCACACTTAAGTTTATGAACTTAAACTTGTTGAGTAATTAACTAAAGAAACTATATAAAGTTATAGTTTAAGACCTTATGAGAGATATCGGTTATAAAGAGTTTCCATACAGGTAGCTACTTACCTTATATTAAGATAAAAAGTTATAGATAGGTACTAACCGTCGTAATAGGATCTGAATATGTTTCTTTGCACTAGATTGTCATGAAATCTCTCCGTAAATATTATCCATTCTTGAAATTATCCCTCAAAAGTCCGTCGGTTAACACTATTTAAACTAATTAAATACACTTCAAAATCGCTCACTTTTAATTTGTTTCAATTCTATCTAAACCGTATATGTATTACACTGCGGTCGGTTTGTCAATAAACATCGGCGTATTATCAGTACGTCGTACTTATCACTTCAAAAGTGGTCAACACTGAAACCCGCAAGTCGCAGGTAACGTCGCGTGCGACAAATCGCATCCGTCAGTGCGTGCGGCGGTGTCGCGCGATCATCGCGCCGCCGCGCTTCGGCTGCGGAAGTCGCGTCCACATACAGACATACAGCACTCGCGATCACAGGGCACGGGGCCGCGCGGGGGGGTGGGGGGCGCGCGCTGCGCGGGGGGGCATCGTGACACACGTGCGCTCGCCGCGGCCGGCCCGGGACACTGGCGCCGCCGCCCGCCGCCGCGCGCACGCGCCCCCCGCGCGCCGCCCGCACCCCCCGCCCGCCCCCGACCGCGGCGCGCGCACCCCCAACGATCGCCCCCGAGCCCCCGAGCCTCCGGACGATTTTTACATCTGCACTGTTGTGACATTGAAATTCAATTTTCGACGGAGCTCCCTTTGATGAAGCACGTCGTTTCGAACGCTGAGGAGCGATAGGGTGGTTCATACTTATTTAATTAAAACACTCGGATTTGCTATTAAAACTTATATTGAGTATTTTGCTGACGAGAATTATATGCTTTGAACTTACTTGGAAAATGAGAAAATTTCATTTTTATGGAAACCGAACGGAATGTCGCACTTCCGGTTTAATTTAAAACGTTCATTAAAGTTAGTCATACTTCAGTTTAATAATAAAAGTTGGACGGGCATGCATGTTAGCCGCACCGGTGCGGTGCGGCGGTATGCCAATCCGATCAGGCGACTTTACATACAGGATATCCTTGTCGCTCGCGCGGCCGCAGTCGCTCGCTCGCCGCGTCCGCACAGTGTGAACGCGCACTAATCCCGCGTTAGCTCTGCGGTTCTCAGTTCGTACTTTTTACAAATGGCTACGCTTCGGAATTTAATTTCGCGCATTTCTTTAACGCTATTGGATATTGTAAGGATTTGCGGATTTATCCGTGGGAAACGTTGGAGACGAATTTTTTGGCGCAGTTGTCGTAAGTTACGGCGGCCGGTCGATTGCTGTCGGGCCCGGCCCGGCGTACGGTGTGTGTAGGCAGTTTACGTTTCACGGCGGTTGGAAGCTCCGAGAGCTTTTCAATCTAGCTTCATTGTTCCGTAATTGGTGGTACAATAACGTCCATATATTTCAGTTATTGTTTCAGCTTTACAGATCGAGAAAAATCTTTTACATAGAAACATTCTAATTTAATTTGGAAATGTAAATATCAAATAACTAATATTACCGTGTAACAATATGGCTAATCAAAAACATTTAAAGTTTATATTGGAGGTTTTTATAGTGTTATTCCTGTATTATTTTGATACTTCACTTCTTGCCACCCTTCAGTATCACCATTTTAAAAATATTTACCCTCTTCTTTATTACCTATGAATAAATATGATAGAATACACTAAATTACAACAAATAACTTTGATTAGCAAAAATCATGGTCTAAAAACGTCGCAAATTTTTGGAAAGAATATATATGTAGTTTACCATTGGTGCCAAAGAACATATATATGTATAACAGTTTACCATTGGTTTTTTTTCGGACTACTCTAATGCTGTTGGCCGCAGCTGGCCTTTACAGCTTCACCGGACGTTAGGGGGCGAGTGCAGATGGCACTCTAAAGGACTTATGGAGCGGCTGAAGGCCAACTCCTGCCTGACGGATACGACTTTAGTATGAGGGCACCACTAGGGGTTCGAACCTCGGCTCAGGCCGTCGTAATTTTGATCCCCGTTTGAATTGGACGGGGGATCGATCGAAGGGGAAATTTACCATTGGTGCCAAAGAAGAACTGAAAAAAAAAATACAAGAATTTATGTCTCAAAAATATGGAAAATACTTATTTTAATAATTATCTTATCTTATTTATATTCTAACTCAAAATACCAGCTAAATTACAGTACAAAGCCGATTTACCTATACCACAGACTAGCTGTCGCCGCGACTTCGTTCGCGTGGTTATCAAAAGCACTACCTCGATTAGTCGCGGACATTTTTTTAGATCATTTAAAGAGGAATAATTAAGTCATATATATTTTTGGGTAACCATAGGACGACAGGTTTTTGCAACATTTTTTACTGATGCTCCGCTCCTATTGGTCGTAGCGTAATTGTAATGGATAAGTGAACTGTATGAGTTTTTAAATGATGAAAACACATAAGTACATAATATGATAGTAAAATATATTTAAATACAGTTGCGAATTGAAAGGACAATGAGAGAATAGTACAATAAATTGAAGTATATCAAATAACATGACATATAAATAAGAACTCTTCAAAAATATAAATTTAAAATTAAAAAAAATATCAAAAGAGTTAGCGGTCGGTCGCCAACAACCGACCGCCGTCATTGCAGCTCCGCTCCTATTGGTCGTAGCGTAATGTTATATAGCAAAACCTTCCTCGACAAATGGACTATCCAACGCAAAAAGAATTTTTCAATTCGAACCAGTAGTTCCTGAGATTAGCGCGTTCAAACAAACAAATTCTTCAGTTTTATAATATATCACAGTGCTGGCCCGTAAAGGTGACGGATGAGAGACAACTGCATGCAACTGAAATGCGAATGTTGAGGTGGATGTGTGGTGTGACAAGAATGGATAAGATAAGGAATGAATACATTAGAGGAAGTATGAATGTGGCGCCGGTGTCGGAGAGGTTGAAGAGTAATCGTCTATCATGGTATGGACATGTAACGCGTAGGATTGAGGATAATATTTTAAGGAAGGTGTTACATATGAATGTGGATGGTTATAAGAGCAGAGGAAGGCCGAAAAAGAGATGGATGGTGTTGGCGCGCAAGCGACGACAGTGGACGGCTGCGGGGTCTGCGGGCGCCGCGGGCCTAACTGGGCCTAATCAATGATCCGGCTCGAAGGACCATTGATTAGGCCCAGTTAGGGTGGTGAAATGATATCACGTTGTGGACTATATGATTATGCCGTTGCTTGCGCGCCAACAGATGGACTGTGTGAAAGATGATATGGTAAGAAAGGAAGTAAATAACGCGATGACTGCGAACAGGGATGAATGAAAGAGAAAAACATATTACGACGACCACAAATAAATGGGATAAGGAAGAAGCAGATGATGTTAACATCATATTACACTATATCATGTCAATATAAATGAATTAGTGATGTAAATATTTATGCGTACAGAATTGGTTTGAGAAGCTGTAGAATAAGATTCGCACTTTATTGAGATAAACAAGAAATCACTGTTTAGGTAACTATATAGACATAGGAGCATGGCACAAGCGGCTCGCCTGATGTGGCATCACACGATTATAACATTATACTAGCAGAGCCGGCCACACGTTGTGTCTAAGGTTCTTGAATAAAATAATATTGCGACTATAAATTGAGATGTAAGCTATCCTATCTTTCAAGTTGGATCAAATTGCACACAATGTGCAAATCAAATTTGCAATCGGTTCTGTAGTTTAGGAGTCCATCGCAGACAAACAACGTGACATGTAATTTTTATATATACAGATTACGTACGGATGGAAATGTATACACAAAATGTCTTCACTTGAGCTATTGAACTGAGTTTGCATTCAACATATCTATACATATAAATAAAATTGGAGTGTCCTTTTGTAATATTGAAATAACCGTTTTTTACATGTATATGAATGCAAATACGGTACGTACACCAAAATAACATTTTTTACGATTTTTGTCTGTCTGTCTGTTTGTTCCGACTAATCTCTGAAATGGCTGGACCGATTTTGCGGGACTTTTATTGGCAGGTAGCTGATGTAATAAGGAGTAACTTAGGCTACTTTTATTAGAAAAATAAAGTTAAATCACACGCGGACGATGTCGCGGGTACAGCTAGTTATACTAATATAATCCAATTCTTAAATCATTTATCCATTAATATTTTCAAATTCTTTTATTGTATAAAAACATCTCTCAACTTTGAAATTTCCGGCTACACATATGTATACAGTTTTAAATGTAGGTGTAATTTTTATTATACAAATATATATATATATATATAATGTGTGATGCAAATTTTTGTGATAATAAGTAAATAAATAAAAAAAAATCACGTCCCTCAAATTTGCCGACATGAGTGTGTATATCAGAGAGTTATGTTAATTGTTTTCTTGCATTTCCTAATATATATTTTTATTATTTTTTTTATTAAAAAAAAGTAATTCAATTGAGTTTCTTGCCAGTTCTTCTCAATTGCATCTATATACCGAACGTGACGGTAGGTAAAAATTAAAATTATAATGTAAAAACTTGACGTTCATAAGCGGCTAAAATCTCCAACATGAATAAATGATTTTTGAATTTGAATTTATGCCAATTAGTAAATAATTGAACAATCATTAGGAGTATGACGCCACACCCGTCACTCGTCATCTCAAACAATAGTCCGCAACTTATTTAAACTTTTCAAATTCTATTTAAAACTTGGCCCGACCTAAACCGAATCCGGCTCGACTTAAATAAATTTCTAAGGGAAATAAAATAAACATGGCCGTCCGTCACGTAGGATTAGTCGCTTTCTTCCGCGATTCATACCGGGATTAACAGATGACGAGGCGGGACCGGGACGGGAGCGTGACGCGACGAGGCCGCGACGAGGCCGCGACGCGAACTACCCCCGGGATCGACTTTGAGAATACTTTAAAAAACAATCAGACTACAATTGCAACTTTGAACAAGTTCAAGCTCTGAGGAAATCAAGGCCCGCCGACTTTTTGTTTTATTGGTCAATTTGTTTCAGAAATATTAAGCGCTATTCCATTGTTTTAATTACAGGCTTGTCCTTTTCTTTCGGGGAAACGTTTTTTAACATTGTCGCGTAATTAAGTTTGTTTTATTTGATAAGGATTTGAAATAAGAAACGAGCAGATAAAGCTATGGAGAGAGTATAAAGTGAAAAGTTCTTTTTTGTAACTGCGACCTCAGTGGATAGTCTGTAATTTGTTTTCTTTCCTTTTGTGGATCAGTCTGGAAAGTTATTTCATAAAAAGGATCATTGTTTCTTAATAACAGTAACATGTTTTATACAATCTAGATTATCTTTCTTGAGCACTCGTGTCAGGACGACCTCCTAAAGTGATGAGTAGAATCGGCAGATTTTTTCAGCCTATAAGGGGCAAACGTTTAAATAGGCAAAAAATACAGGGCACATAGCTCGTAGGACAGATGGCCGTTGGGGCAGTAAAGTCCTCGAG